TGTGTATGTCTGTGTGCATGTATGTGTAAGTGTGTGCATGTGCGTGTATGAGTGTGTGTGGGGGGGGTTCTCTCACTCATTTCTTCTTCAGTCATCTGTTTTCTTCCTGTCTGCTTTTATTGGTTGGCGTCAGACCTGGATTTACGCATGTCACCATCCATTCTGCAATCCCCCACTGTCTCCAGCACAGCCCCCTCCCTCACTTCCCCAAGGCTTACAGCACCTTGGGCCTGAGCCATGGTTCCCCTCTTGGCCCTGCTTGGCCTCTTATCCTGGGCTTCTAACACTGAGTTGACAGAACTGATTTGGCAAGGTGAAGGGTGACACTTTGAAGCCTGAGGCGCTGAGTCTAGACAGTGTCCGAGGGGCTGCTGGGGTCAACGATATTCTTTGTTTCTGCCCTTGTGCTTGTCTGTTTGGGGGCTTTGGTTTGGAAGTGTTTGCAGTACTGAGGTTCGAACCTAGGGTCCCACGGGTGCTCTGGGCAAGCGCTCTACCACTGAGCTGTGTCTCAGCTCTGTTTTTACTTTTTAAAAAGATTTTTATTTTTCATTTGTTTGTGGTTGTGCATGTGTGTGTGAATGTGAACTTTTGCATGCATGTATAAGAGAGGGGGAGGGAGGGATGGAAGGGAAGGGGGGGAAGGTGTTATATACTCTGGAACTGGGGTTACAGGGGCTTTGGCGTCCCTGACGTAGGTGCTAGGGACTGAACTTGGATCCTCTGGATGATCTGAACTGCTGATCAATCCCTTCAGCCCACTCCCACCCCTTCTTGTGTTGCATTTTGAGACAAGGTCCACTAAACTGCTCATTCTGGTCTTGATGTCACTATAGGCCAGGCCAGCCTTCAAGCTGTAATCCTCCTGTCTGTGACACTGGAGCCAGTTTGGTTCTTCCAATTTCTGCTCACAGTTCCCACCCCCATGAGTACAGCATCAGGAGATGGACAGTGTCTACCCCTGGCACCTGGGGACCAGGGCAAGTTAGAGTTCCCTACCCACAGTCTGAGCCACACTGGCTATTCCAGTTCTACCTCCTCTCAGTTAACCTATGCCTCCACTGGCCTGTGGCTTGCACCAACCGCTCCCCATAGGGGGTAACTGAAGTACGGTTGGCTGTCCATCCGGACACCATTCCTGCTAACAGAAGCACACACTGCTTGGGACAACTGTTCCCCGTGTGTGTTGCTACACACGTACAAAGGAACAGCAGACTTAATAAAGGGACGAGGGCATGGGGTTTGGAGTGCAGAGGTGTCTTCTGAGGTTAATAAACGGCACACTTGAGGCTGGGGCTGAGCTCTTTGGACTGGAGCATTGCCGTCCTTGCTACTTTGTTTCATTGACCACTATGCTCATTGGCTGCTCTGGCCATCTGTCTTATGCGAAGCAAGGCTTGAGAACTCGTGTTGTAGTCAGTGTCCCTGCCCATTCCCATGTGCCCAAAGGTAATTTGCGCCTCCACCTAGAGCCTCCTCTCTTCCATATGTGCTTCGTGGTGGATTTGGTCCAATTCATTCATTCATTCATTCATTCATTCATTCACAAACTATTCATTTAGCTCTTACATCAGAATGGCAAATATGCCTTCAAAGGTCTAACTCCCACATTACATTGTTGTTGTTGTTGTTTTTGTTGTTGTCCATCATTTCTCCTCCCAGGCTAGCTCGCCTGCAGGTAATTACCTATCTAGAAGGTAAATCTGTTTCTTTTATTTCTTAATGATTCTTTGGGACAATCTTAGGATACTCACTCTTTAGATAAAGTCCAAGAATCTTCCTCTGATACTTTTCACCTCCTTTTCAACAGTCTCCTCCTTTATCAGAGCCCCTCACCTTACCAGCCCCTTCTTTACATCAGCCCCTCCCCTTCCGTCATTCCCCTCCTTTATGTGAGCCCCTCCCC